GACGCGTCTAAAGAATAATATCTTATTCTACTTGATAACAAAAATTGTGGTGGTGTTGCGCAATACTATTATAAGGGTGTAAGAGTATGGAGAGGTGGGCCGCTCGGTGGGGTGGGCCGTTCGGTGGTGAAACACGTTACTCTTAATAGAAAACCTATATACGAGCTAAGCTCTTCGCTAACTACTTTACGTACTTAATAGAAGATTACTAAGTATACTATATAATTACTTATACGAAAGAAAAGACCTTTACCACTCTCTAAGCTTACGTTATAGTAGTAATAGATAAATAAAAAGAACTATCGCTGAACGAGCTTTAGGCTTAACTAGACAGATTCTTCTAAGACTTAATAATTTAGTAGAAGGCCCTATAATACCTTCGTACGATGAAGTAAGGTAAAGGAGAGTTTCTCCCTCACGTACAAGCATTCAACCTAAAGTTCTACGAAGCGGGGCTAAGCCCTCTTAACAACGCACTTAAAATTAACTACCTAAAGAACCCGCTAAGTAGAAAGCTACTCCGCTACTAAGCTGGCTATTAACCTCTAGCTAGTAAGACATACAAGAACTTTATAAATAGAATACGCGTTACTTAGAAGAACTTAAAAGCGGTAGACTAGCTTCCGTACGACTTACTAGTTTACCCTAAACCTTCCTCTTTAACTAACGACGTAATAGATTAGACTCTAATCATAGGCGCTATGCGCTCTCGTATAAGGAATAAATATTAGAGTATAAAGACTTAAATCGTATAACAAAAGAAAGAAGGTAGCTATCTCTACTATAGACTTTAAGGCCATCGCGTACGATACTATAAGGCTATAGTACCTAAATGTATAAGGAACTCTATATCTACTACGAAGATAATAGTAGCTACGGTAGAAGATAATAGCTTAGATAAGAGAAAAGAAGAGCTCTAGCCTAAAAACGCCAGCTAGGGCTATAAAAGCAAGTTAAGAAGGTCGTACGATCGACTCATNGTCTCTTACAACAACTAGAACCTACCTCACTAATGTCTATAGACGTAATCATTAATAGTACTAAAAACGCTACTACTATAGTTAATAATAGTTATTATACGTACTCTATAGTTAATAAGACGTTTATCTAAGATCTTAACTTACTACGCGTACTAATAAAACCTTATATAGTTAAAGAAGTAAATAACTAAAGGAGCTTCGTATAAGTTATTACAGAGTTTACTATTAATATAGGAGAGGTAAAACGACGGGCAGCTGCCTATATTACCCTATTAACATATAAGTACGATATAATTCTAGGTAAAACTTAGCTAGAAGACGTAGGCGGCGTAATTGACGCCTCGCAACGACGCCTACGCTTTTGCTACTACGGAATCTTAGTTCTAAGCACTAAGTCCTCCGTACGAGAAATAAACCCTCTTATAGTCTCTACGGCCGCCTTTAAGTATTACGTACGATAGAGTAAGAAGCGGCTAGCTATATAAGTATTTGCCGTAAGCCTTTAAGATATTAAGAAAGCTTTACGCCCAAAGACACTTCTTATAAAAGAAGAAGTAAGATAGTAACTCTTTACCTATCTATAGCTGTACGTAGAGCTGTTTACGCTAAAAGAAGGAAAGAAGTTACCTCCTCTAAGAGGCTCAAAAGTAGACTATCAGATTAAACTTATATCTAATAAGGATAGAAAAGCACTAGAAGTCCTGTATGGGTTACTCTATAGTATATTAAGAGATGAACTCCTTATACTAAGAAAGACGTTATATAAGCTACTTAAGAGAGGATTTATTCGTATAAGTAACTCTCCTATAGCCTCGCCCGTTCTATTCGTATAAAAACCTAGAGAAGAGCTACGATTCTACGTTAACTACCGCGCTCTAAACGCGATAAGCTAAAAGGACTGTTACCCTCTCCCGCTTATCCGCAAAACGCTAAACTAAGTCAGATAGATAAAGTAGTATACGAAGCTTAATGTTATAGTAGCCATCTACTATATCTATATTATAGAGAGATAAGAATAGATAACTACCTTCTAAACGCGCTTTAGTTCGTATAAGTAGCTAGTAACCCTCTTTGGACTCGCGAACGCACCTAGCACGTTCTAAAGATACGTTAACTATGTACTATAGGACTTCCTAGATGACTTCGCGTTAGCCTACTTAGATAATATTCTTATCTACACGGATAGCTTGCGAGAGTAATACTACGAACACGTATAACGCGTTATAGAGCGTCTCTAAACTATAGAGCTATAACTAGAGCTAAAGAAATACGAATTTAACGTCTAACGTATAAAATATCTTAGGTTTATTCTCTAAGCAGAGGAGGGTGTATCTATAGATCTAGATAAGACAAAAGTAATCTAAGAATAGAAAGCGCTAGTTACTATACGAGGAGTACGAGGGTTTCTAGGCTTCGCTAACTTCTACCGCAGGTTTATCTCTAACTTTTCTAAGCTTACTAAACCTTTCGTACGCCTAACTAAGAAGGACGAGAAATTTAAATAGGGATCTAAGAATTAAGCTTTACTACCCTAAAGAAAGTATTCCTCTTAGAGGAAGTCCTAGTTGTATTTAACTCTAACCATTGTACGATCGTTAAATGCGACTTCTCTAGACAAGCCCTAGGAGTAGTATTACTCTAGGAAGACGAAAGTAAAGCCTTACGTACAGTTACTTACCTATCGCGAAAACTACTAGTGTATAAAGCGAACTACCTAATCTATAATAAGGAACTTTTAGTAGTTATCGCCTACTTAAAGGAATAGGATGCGGAACTCCGTAGCGTATAAGAGTTTAAAGTTATTACTAACTATAAGAACTTAGAATTCTTTATAAAAAAGTAGAAGCTCTTAGAACGCTACGTATAATAGTCTCTTAAACTAGCCCACTTTCTAAATATAAGACTTTAATATTAACCTAGTAAGGATAATGTGCGAGTAGACGCCTTATTACGACGGGACTAAGATATGCCTAAAGACGCCTTAGATAAACACTACGCTTTGAGAGAGTTTACTATACTAGTACCCGCGTATACTCTAGACCCGATTCTTGCACTACCTATACGGCCTATAGAAACCTCTCTAGTATTACCTACGCTTCTATAACTACTAGACCTCTTAGAATTAATCTAGTCGTCGTGGGACCGTGCCGTACAAGAGGACTTACTCTACTAAGAGGTTAAGCGAGCTATATAGGAAGAGAAGCGTTCAATCTTAAGCTTAAAACGAATCGCAGTCTCTCTAGGCGACTATATAATTAACGATAAGGACTAGCTTTGCTAGCGTAGTAGAGTATAGGTACCTAACTATAAACTACTCCGTATAGGAGTTATTTAAGTAGCTTACCTCTCTCTACTATCGGGATACCTAGGACGAGAAGAAACCTACCGAATTATCGCGCGCGAATAGTATTAGCTAAACCTAAGTAATAATATCTACTGTTTTATACAGAACTGCGACCTATGTCGTAAAAGTACTCCTTAGCGAGATAGAAGATATAGGTACTTACGACCGTTACCCGTGCCTAGTTATATATAGTAGTACCTAACTATAGACTTTATTATAGGGCTACTACTATCCTAAGGAAAGACTAACCTAATAGTAGTAAAGGATTAGCTAGGTAAGGGCGTCGTACTAATCCCTATAGACAAGACTAAGATAGTAAACGTAGCTTAGGCGTTCGTACGAGAAGTCTACCGGCACTATAGTTTACTATAGTTAATTACGTCCGATAGAGGCCCTTAGTTCGCGAGCTCTCTCTAGAAGTAGATCTGCTAGCTACTAGGCATCTAGCGTAACCTCTCTACGGCGTACTACCTATAAACGGACGGAACGACTAAACGCGTAAATAGCGATATTAAAGCTACTATATAAGTCGTCTATAATTACGACTAAGATTACTAGGCATAACTTTTTTCTCTTCTAGAACTTATATTTAATTCGCGCATAAATACGTCTATAGGAGTCTCCCCCTTCTTTCTTTACTACGGCTACTATAACACTCTCTTTCCGCAAGAATAAGATATTATATAGGCTACTAACGTAGCTAAAACTATAAAAGGAATAGTCTATATAATTAGTAATGCTTTAATCTAAGCTATATCCGCTATAATATACGCCTAACAAGAATAAGAACAATAGGTAAGTAAGTCTTATAAGCTAGTACTAACGTACTAGGTAGGAGACTAGGTATAACTAGACCTACGCGACGTACGAACCACAAGAGTAAGTAAGAAACTTAATTAGAAAAATAGTAAGTTTTAAGTATTACGCGTATAGGATCTCTACTAGGTAGAACTAACTATGCCCTAGGAGACTAAGATATATTATATGGATAAAATCCGCCTAGCCGCTAACAACCCTCTGCTATTCTAGTAGATAGATAACTCTAACCTAGCAGCTATCGTTATACGAGGCNAGAACGAAGAAAAACACCTAGAATAGATAGTATAAGACATTACGGATAAAAGAAGACGATAAAAGAGAATAGAATACCTCGTCTATTAGGTAGGCTATTAAACACCTATATAGGAACTAGCCGCTTACCTCATAGATATCTCTACTCTTTAGCAGTAGCTAACCTAAACCTAACCCGTACGAAAATCAAATAGCTAACTTAGAAGAAATTAGCGTAAGTAATAAAAGCTACTTAAGGAGTAGTGGGTTGGCTAGACCTCCTAGAGCTAGTCGCCTACAAGGACTGCCACTATCTAAACCCCTAGATATACGCTTAGAGGCAGATGTTATACGACTACTATAGCTACGCGGGACATTATAATGAGCGCTATAATTCTACTAGATATAGTTAGAATAGGCCCTACCTTACTCGCCTAGAATTAATATATAGCCCGCGAACGCCGTAAACTCCTTCTTACTCTTAAGAATAGCAGCGTAGTTGTTCGTATAAAACTGCGTATTAAGACCGCTACGAGAATAAATAATAAAAGCTTTAAGATACGACGGACGACTAGTAAGGATTTAATAGGTAGTAATCGTCGTACGAGCTATAATAGGCGAGTAATCGCGCAGGCCGGCACCGAAGATGGCATCGTAAGGGCTGTTACCACGGGGGCGGCAGAAGAAGTCAAATACGCGCCGGATATCCTCCTAAATCCAATTAATCCACGAGCCGTACGAAAAGAGAAGAAAGAGACTTATAGAGGCGGTAGTAAAGACGCAACGAAGCTTATTAGCGATAACCTAATTAAAGATATACTAAACACGATACTTATTAAGATTAATTATGCTAATAACGTTAATAACTAGTTAAACCGCACTAGGTGTTGTCCGGGTAAGGGCACGGTCAGCAGCAGCGAAGATCTAAGCTGCTATAGCCGTAATGGTATCGTTAGGAGTACCGTTGGAACAGAACTGTAAGGCGTTTACGCCGCTCACAGCCCACTACCCACGCTCTCCAGGCTGCGCCTTTGGAGGCATAGTACGAAAAGAAGAAGAGGAAAGAGTAGAAAATCTAAGTTAAGTAAGAAGGCGGATTATAACTAAAGAATAAGTATCTATAACGTGGTTCACAAGCGAGTCGGCCACCCAAGCGAGTCGGCCACTTTACACTAGCGCGTCAACTTCAAGTTATTACAACAGACTTTTATCATAGTTAATAAACTATTACGATAACGTGGTTTACAAGCGAATCGGTTGCCCAAGCGAATCGGTCGCGCCCCACCAGCGCGTCAACGTCGACACTACATCACATTATGTCTCAACAACGCAGTTACTTATCAACTTATTCTGAAT